GGGGGGGGGGGGGGGCGGGTGTCTCCCGCTGGGCCCCCTCCTGCGGCTCAGCTCCCCTTTTCCCAGGGTGACAGCTCGGCCCCCAGAGCGCCCCCTTCCCCTCGCAGCGCCGGGTGCGCATCGGGGCCTGGGCGGGGCAGCCCCTCACCTTGTCCTGTTGGAAGTCGGGCTGCAGGGAGGCCTGGGCCCCGGCCCGCGTCTGCAGGGCCCCCAGCAGGAGCAGCGCCACCCACAGCGTGTGCACAGCGGCCATGGTCCTGGGGAGGGGCAGCCGCCGGCCGCGGTGCCAGCGGTGCGGCCAGAGGGACGGAGCCAGCGGAGGAGCCGAGGCCACTGGAGAGACCCCTATTTATGGGCCTGGCTTGGCCTCCACCCAGGGCCCAGGGACAGCCCACTGCAGGCTCGTGATGCTGGGGGAGGACAGAGCCGAGCCCAGCTGCCCCCCGCCCGGCTGCTTATGTAAGAGGCTCTGACCAGGACCCGCCTGGGCCCCGCCACCTGGGGCTGCGGGTGGGGGAGGCAGGCAGAGGCTCCTGCAAGCTTGGTCCTCCCTGGGTCCGCAGCCTGGATGGGGGTGGGGCACGTGCCCAGGGCCTCTGGTCCCTTCTGCCCCGGGGCCTGGAGCCCCTCTCACAAGCCCTTCCGTCTCCTTCTCCAAGCTCAGGGACCCTGGGAGGGGACGCTGTTCACACTGTATGAGTTTGGCCCTGAAAGGCCTGGTGGGCTGGGTGCTGACGGGGAACGGGCCCAGGTAAAGTAACACGATCTGCCCTTCAAGGGTGTGCGGGCACAGCTGCTTGTGGCCCCGTGGGTGCCCTTCTCAGCCTGGGGCCCCCTTCATGTCTGGTCCCGCCCACCAGTGTGCTCCAGCGGCTCCCTGCACAGACTCGGGCCTGTGTCCCCGCCAGCATGGGACTCAAGGGTCCCCACCTTCCAGAGGACTGCGTCCTTCGGAGGCTTCCCCAGGCTGACGGGCTGCCTCTGAGTCCTGGGCCGGGCTCAGAACTCACATGTGTCACCTGTTTCGTCCTGAGGTCATCCCAGGCCAGCAGGGTCTCAGCTCAGGGCCGAGTGGGTGTCAGCGCTGAGCAGCTGTGGGCGGTTGGGCGTGAGTGTCCGGGGGGAGGCGAGGAGCCTGGGAGAGAAGACGAAGCAGGGGAGTGTCCTGAGAGTGGTGCAGACGCGGAGGGGCCGTCGCTGTGGGCAGTGGGGGGCAGGAGCCCATCATCTGCAGACACAGACCCAGCCCGTTAGGGGGTGCAGGCTCCTGTCCCAGGGTTTCTACCCAGAAGCTGGATTCTTGGCAGTCCTGGCCTCTGGCTTGGAGTGGCCTGGAGGCTGTTCAGAAGCGATCAAGGGGGAGGCACGGGGTCGGGTCAGCTCCCTAAGTGGGTCCAGCGTGGGTACTGCCGCCTGCCTTGTGACGGCAGGAGGGTGGGTACCAGGTCCAGGGGTCCTGGCAAGGTCAGGGCGTCGGGCTTCCTGGCCCAGGCTAGCCCTTGCCGTGGGCCGCTGCAGGTGGCTGAGCGTGTCCTGGCGGGACTGGTGGGGATGAGGCCCGGATCTCACCTGCCAGGTGAAGACAGGTGTGGCCGTTCTGCGGGAGGGGCTGGGCCGCCCGCAGGTCTGGAGCCTGCCTCCTCCCTCTGCGCCTTTGCTCTGCGGCCCTGATATGCAGGCCAGGGGTGTGAGGTTGGCATGTGCTGCCCTCTGTACCCCCTCCCCCGTGGCCAGGGGTGGAGGAGCAGACGGTCTTATTTAGGGGGTGCCGTGGAGCTCCATCATCAGGGCAGCCTGGGAGAGCAGCAGGGTGAGCAGTGCCATGGGGAGGGGCTCCTGCTTTTTCACTGGGGCTGGGGCTGGCGGGGGGGGGGGGGGTGGTGGTGGGCGTTGTCTTCCTGGGCAGAGGCAAATGTGAGGGGGTGAGGCGGTGAGAGACAGCAGACACCTAAGAGGGTGACTGGCAGCGGTGCAGGGAGGGGGTGCTGGTGCAGAGAAAGGGGGCAGCAGTGCAGGGGAGGGGGTGGTGGTGCGGGGGAGGGGGATGGCGATGCAGGGGAGGGGGGGCGGGAGTGCAGGGGAGGGGGTGGTGGTGCAGGGGAGAGGGATGGCGGTGCAGGGGAGGGGGGCGGGAATGCAGGGGAGGGGGATGGCGGTGCAGGGAAGGGGGACGGCAGTGCAGGGGAAGGGGCGGAGGCAGCCCTGAGACCCCCACCCTTCAACCCTGGCCTCCTGTCAGCCCCAGACCCCAAGGTGCCGCCTGTGTACTAGGCTGTGGGATGACAGTCTCTTGGAACAGGCAGCAGTTGGGGGGGCTGACCCCCAGGACACTGCACTGGCCCAGGAATAGATCTGGGAGCTCCTTTCAGGCTGGGACAGGGGCCGGGAGAGGAACGTGGCGGGAAGGCCTGGGGGACACAGGCTGCACCCCGTATGGGCACCAGGTCTCCTCCCCGTTCATCGGCTGAACACCCCTTGGCCTGAGGGGGGCCTGTGACTCTCTGAGTGGCTGGGCTAGAGGTTGCTTTCCAGGCCAGGCCACCCCTGGAGAGGAACCCCTCTGCCAGGGGTGAGCATCCCCCAGGGCGAGGCGGTTAGGTGACCCAGGACACCAGGACCCCGGACATGTGGGCCTCAACGGCTGTCATCTGGGCTAAGCTTCCAGGAGGGACACTTGCAGCTGGATCCCCAGGGGGTCTGACGGATCCTGGCGGGACAAGTTCCTCCCGAGGACAGAGTGGCTCCTGTAGGCCCCCAGGCCCAGCGCTGGGGACTGTCCCTCCTCCCCCGTTTCCCTGGTGGGGGACAGAAGGCCAGGTAGCCCCCACGTCCCTTCTCCCCAGTGAAGACCGGCGGGGCAAGGGATGACGTGCTCGTGGCTGGGGACCAGAGGCCCGGAGGGGCGGGAACTGGCCCTTGGTCCCCCTGTGGCCCAGGTGGCTTTCCATAGACATTGTGGGGCAGGAGGCCTGACCTGGGGGAGGGCCCTGGGTCGGGGCAGGGATGGCGGCTCTCATCTTGGGTCAGCGGTGGGGTATGGACTCCTAGAAGGGTGTCCAGGGCCCGGCTTGCTGGAAGCTGGAAGAGCACTATGGAAAATCGGCGGTCTGTGCGCCCTCCGTGGCGTCGGGGCCCCTCCAGGGGGCAGGGCCCCTGCCCCCCAGCACAGGCTGCTACCCAGAGAGGCTCGCCTGTGTGTGGGGTGGGCTGTGTGCGCCCCTTCCGGAGGCCCCGCTGCCATGCGCAAGCTGCACCGGTGAGCAGCACACTGAGCTCATGCTCTGCGACCCAGAGAGGGCGGTGGGCGAGGTGAGGGGTGAGCAGCCAGGCAGGATGGGGGCCGGGGCTGCAGCCGGAGGGGCCATGAGTCTCATGCCCCCGGCCCAGCCCGTGGTCGAAAGAGGCCCCCCTGCTCAGACCCTCCCCTCTCGGGAGGCCTTCCCGGCATAGCCTCCCCCAGGCGTGGCACCCTCTCCTGGGTGACATCCTACTCTGTGCCAGGGACTCCCCAGCGCCTGGACTCACCCTCAGGCCCCTCTCCACCCCGCCCAGCCCCCAGAGCCGAGCGCCCCACACCTGCCCTTCTCTGTGTCCCCTCCCCAAGCGCCCCGGTAGCAGGTCTACCCAGAGGTCAGAGCCAGACACGCCCAGGGTTGGGTGGTGGGAGGTCCGTGGCCCCTTCCCCAAGTCCCCGTGGCACCTCCCACCTGTAGTGACCGGCCCGCGTGCCCTGGTCTCCCAGCCTGCGCCCTGCCGTCCGGACCCTGCTGGGCCCAGAGGACCCCGCCAGCTCCTGCTGGGGCAGCCACGCTGGCGGCTGAAGGAGCAGCTCCCCGCGACCAGAGTGACTCTGGTGTGGCTGGCGGCTGGCCTCTCTGAGCCTCAGTTTCCCTATCTGTGCAGAGGGAGTGAGGATGCTCCCAGCTCACAGGGAGTTGGGGGGTGTGGGCCTCCCAGCCCTTGGGACAGATCTGCTTCCGGGAGCCCGTCTGTGGCAGACGGGGGAGCTTCTGGCGGCCTGTGGGCAGAGCTGGGCTGAGCCCGGGGCCCTGGGCCCTCCCTCCCCCCGCTCCGAGCCCTCTCTCCAGGCCCTTACCTAGCCCTTCCGGAAGGGGACCCTGACAGGTGGGGTCTGGTGGGAGGCTGGGGCCTGGGGCACAATTCCGGGGCCCAGTAGGTAGGTGGTCCGGCAGGTAGGGGAGGAGGCCCCCTGAGAGCTGATTCACCTTTGCCGGGTCCAGTGGGGTCTGGCCGTTGCCACGCGTCCTGCTGAGCTACTTGTAAGATGTTGGTCCCTTTCCCCACCCCCGCCCCCCGGATGGTGCATGATGGAGGCCTGGGGAGGCGGGGGGGGGTTGGCATCCAGGAGACCCCCCCCTCTGTCCCTCCTGGCCTCCGCCCCCCCCACTGCAGTCACGGGACTCCCCCTGCACTCTCTGCTCTGAGCTGGGCCCTGTGTGGTCAGCAACCCTCCAGAGGCCCCGCTCAGCTGATGCGGGGATGGGGGATGGGGGTGCGAACTTGCTGGATGCTGGGGCTGGCGAGGCCCCTCCTGGCACCGCTGACAGCAGCAGAAATGCCCGGCTGGGCAGACCAGGCGCTGCTCATGGCTCGCAGAGGGATGGCGTGGGGAGGCTGGCAGTGCGTGCTCCTGACCCGCGAGGGCAGGGCTTTGCTCTCAGCCTGCGGGGCAGACGAGGGTCTCTCAGGAGCCCCACGCCAGGACCTGGTGCGGGGAGAGACCCCCAGAGGCTGACCTGGGAGCCCCCCCACCTCAGGTCAGGCCCTCCGCAGCACGCAGACAGCTCTGGACGCAGCGCCTTCTGGGGCTCCATGGGCAGAGACCAGCCAGGGCACACGCACCACCCATGAGGCTGGGGCCCAGGCAGAGTCTAGGACGGCCACCTGCCTGCGGAGGGCTGGGGTCGGCAGGGATGCCAGGCGTCGGCCTCAGCCTTGAGAGGTCATCGAGGCCATTGCCCTGCCTCTGGCCTCAGATAGGGACCTTGTGGACCCTACCCACCTTCGACCTGGCAATCAGCTCCCCCCAGCCTGTGGGAAGGGGCTTTGAGGGGACCCTGAGTGGGTGGGCAGAGGCAGCCCCTCGGGCCCTGCCCCCTGCCCTCCAGAGCTGCCTCCTAGCAGCTTACCCTGCCCCAAGCTCCTCCCATGGAAGGTGTTGAGGAGACTGGCTGGTGGATCCCCAAAGAATTTTAAATCAGGAAGAGGCCCTGAGTCACAAGAAGCTGCTAGGCAGAATATTCTGGAAAATCTTCAAAGGCCTTATCCCCTTTCCCTGCCCCTGACCCAGGCTCTTGGGTCAGCCCTGTCTCCAGCGCCA